AACATCCAGATCTAAGGGTAAAGGACTTGGGTAACTTAAATATTATTAAATTGAATGATGGGAACAAGCCAATCTACAGTTCCTCCCTGTAGCCCTCTAGGATGCATACTGAAAAATTAGATTAAATTTGGGGGTGATCCAATGACAAAAGAAAAAATTAAGAGATTTTGTAGTCAATGGTGGCCACATTATTAATTGGAGGATGGGAAAAGAGGTCATTGCAGTTTAATATTATCTTACAGTGGATGTTGGTAAATGGAGTGAGGATTTTTTTATGTTGATGCTTATATGACATTGTATAGAGATCCAGATACTCATAGAAAGAGTAAATTGGGGGGAGATATAATGCTGTAAATTGAGGAGAAGGAGAAAAAGCAAGGGGTTGTAATGTTGCAAAGGGGATGAGCTGGAAGAGGTACAATGTTATCCCCCTCCTTACCACACACCCTTCTCCCCCCCATATAACACTGGGGTAGAAACAGACAAAGAGGACACAGAGCAAAACAAAAAACATGTGCAAAATGAGATTTTGGTCCTATTGCAGGCCAGATTTTGGGACATCCCCAGGCAGAAATACAGGCGTCTTTAAAACAACCAGTGGGGGTAGAGCTCTGCCAGTTTTTGTACATGTTCCTTTTTGCTGCTCAGAGTTTGTTGAGTTGGAAATCCTGGAGGAATATATCAGCTTTTGGCAACAGTCAGGCTGACTCATAACCTTACTGGGGGGATAGCAGGCTGTACTGAAAACTTTTTTACTGCAGAATGGTGTTAGAGAAGGAGAAAGAAGAGGAATGGGCAGGAAGTTTGGGGATCTGAAAGGATCCACCCCCACCTTCCTTGGCCTGAATATGCTACTTGTTGACAGGAGGGGTCAATTAGAAGATGTAAATGTTATGCTTATGGGAGGGTTTTGACAATGAGGGAAGGGGGCCATATACACCATGATGCCCGCTTCTCTTGCTGGAATGAGATATATTTTGTAACTTAAATGCACAAGTAGCCTTTTCTGAGATTTCCATGCAGCTTCACGTTCTACTTGAGACAGGCTGGAAAGCTCAGATGTGCCTGTTAATGGGTAAACTATGAGAGGACATCAGAGAAAATATTCCAGATGCCATTTCAAATACAGTGATCCTCACAGGCTTCAGAAAAACCAGGTAAAGCAAAGAATGTGTCTCCATTTAAGAGAGAAAGCTCAGAAATGAGAGCTAAACCATTAAGAGTAAACCAATATCCTATAAAGACAGATGCACAAAAGAGTCTGGAGCCATTGATAAACACACTCTTAACAATTCAGGGTACTCAGACAATGTCAATCTGAATTTTAGATGCCTCCCTACAGGTAAAGAAGCCTTGTTCTCAAGTATATAGATTAGTACAAGACTTAAGAGCAATCAATCAAATAAGCACAAATATACACCCAGCTGTACCAAATCCTTATACTTTGTTAGCCTCGGTGCTTGAAACAAACTCCTGTTTTACTGTTTTGGCCTTAAAGGATGCTTTCTTTTGTATCCCAATAGACAAGCAAAGCCAAACAATCTTTGCCTATGAATAGGAGAATCCTATGACTGGAAGAAAGGTGCAGCTCTGTTGGATGGTGCTCCCCCAGGAATTCAAAAATAAGTCCACCTTATTCGGTGATTTTGGCAAAAGAACTGGAATGATGGGAATAAGGTAATGGTGTTTCTCTTTTATAGTCTGTAGATGACATCCTAATTGGAGCTGACAAGGAACAAACCTGCTTGGAAGTGACCATAGGCCTGCAGAACTTTTTGGGACGTGCTGGGCATCGAGTTTCAAGGAAAAAAGCTCAGATTGCATAAAGATAAGACAAATACCTTGGCTTTAAGGTAAAAAAAGGACAATGAGCTCTGGGAGAAGACAGAAAAGAAGCAATATGCTTGTCCTAGTTAGGACAGCTGAGATCAGTTCATCATGGTGGGTGTAACCCAAAACTGTATTCTATAGCCTTCCATGTCATTTCCCAGAAACTAGACTATTGTTGTCAATAGACTATTCGCACCCTCTGCCCATAGAGCATGGTGGGTGTAACCCAAAACTGTATTCTATAGCCTTCCATGTCATTTCCCAGAAACTAGACTATTGTTGTCAATAGACTATTCGCACCTTCTGCCCATAGAGCCTGACTCCTCAGGCTATAAACTAGGTGTTAAGAGGCCTGTGAGATAGAAGGATGTTTCTGTCCTCACACCCTTTGTGAACTCCCCGCCCTGAGGGGAGTACCAAGCATTCCTGCCTGAACTGGAGGATATATAATCTTGGAGTTTTGGAACATTTTTAAACCCACTCGTGGGATCCAGAGGAAGGCTGCATCTCATCGCTCTCAACCAGACTTAGACCACCACTGGACTGCGATCACCAGTTCTGGCCAGACTGCAGCAGCTCTCCCACCAGCAGGTTCTTCCCCTCTCCCTTTACTTTGGACTCAAACAGGGCCCAAGGAACACCACTTTGTTCAGGCCCCAGGGTACTGGGTTACACATTTGGGTTTTTGTGGGTTGAGACCAATTGTTTGTTTGTATTATTGTACTTACTGTATTATTTTAATAAATTGTTATTCTGACTTATAATCTCTCCTTTGAGTTGGGTTCATTCCCCCTGCTGGTTAACTTTTAAACCAGCACAATGCTGAATTGCACTTCCTAAGACTAAGAGATAACTAAGAGGATTTTTGTTAGTGGCAGAATTCGGCCCCATATAGATCCCAAATTTTGGACTAATAGCCAATCCCCTTTGTTTGGCCCTCAAAGGCCCTGAAGAATTGCTGGAATGGACCTGAGAATGTCGAACCAGCTTTGACATCCTAAAAAGGATGCTCATGGGAGCGCCAGCTTTAGGTCTTCCAGATACAACTAAATCCTTTCTGTGATATGTGTGCGAAAGGCAGCAAGGAGCCTCTGGGGTGATGACACAACTGATGGAAGTTGGCAAAGGCCAGTGGCATCCTTTTCCAAGCAGCTGGATGGTCAGCATGCTTATGGGCTGTAGCAGCCACCACACCAATGATACAGGAGGCCGAGACATTCACTTTGGAGCAGCCTCTAACTGTGCTGGTCCCATATGCCATGCTGGCTGTTTGGAATCTAAAGAGACATCACTGGATCTCTCCAAGCCAACTGGCAAAATACCAAGTTGTGCTAATGGACCAAGGAGAAGTAGACATGTGTGTGACATCAACTTTGAATGAAGCCACTTTGCTCCCTACTGAAAAGCAAGAGCCTTTTCAACGTGACTGGGTGCACACCATGGAGCAGGTAGATGCAGATTTAAGGGTTGAACCTGTACAAAACATGGACTGATGGCAGCAACTTTGTGCAATGCAGGTAAGTTACCCCTGGAGGATGGAAAAGAGCAGTGGTATCCCTGGGGTCTGTGGCACGGATCCCTGGGATATAGTCCCATGGATCATCACCCCGTGCCTGCAGGTTCCCTGCCCTCGCCCAACATGTTCCCTTCTTGGGTATGTAGCACAAACGCTGGTGGTGAGGGTGGCAGTGCCCATCCTGCTGGTGGTGAGGGTGGTAGTGTCCCCCGTCCTGCCCTGCACTGGAGGTGCTGGACAACACCACCGCTATCCCCTATCTCAGCCAAGACTTCAACTGCCAGGAACAGGCTGAGAACAGTGACAGCAAGCTGAAGGAGGTGGGTGGTCCTGCAGCCACCCAGCAGTGAGGGCAGGGCCCAGTGACAGCAGGATAGTGCCATGGGACAGCGGGAACAGGGTCCAGGTGCTGGGATGTGGCTGGAGCCCCTGCAGCGCAGCAGAAGCTCAGAGCCCCTGGGTGGGGAGGGGCTGGCAAATAAAGCACTCAGTCCTTGAGGTGCTGGAGTTGGTATCCACCAGTTCATGGTGGTCATGCTGCCCCCACCTCCATCCCTGCTGTGCCCTCAGCCGCTCAGTGTTCCCATCCCCAGCACCTTGATGCCACCATGTCCATTCCTAGGGTGCCCTAAGCCCCTCTATATCCTTGTCCGCAGCCCTGTGGTGCACCCATTCCCATCCCTGTGGTGCCCCCAGCCCCATGCTCCCCCCAGCCTCAGCCCCATGCTGCCCACCACCCCTTGATGACCCTATACCCTCACATGATGCCATCCCCATTCCTATGGTGCACCAAGCCCTGTCCCTGTCCCCACAATGCCCCCAGCCCCTTGATGCCCCCATCTCTATCTCCATGGTATGCCTAGCCTTGTTCCTTGTCCCCGTGGTGCCCCTAGCCTTGTTGTGCCCCCCATCTTCACACCAAGTCCCTCGATGTGCCCAGCCCCACATCTAGGGTGCCCCCTCCCCCTCCCAGACCCTCGATGTCCCTGTTCCCAACCCCACAGTGCCTCCAGCCCCAGGCTGCTCAGGGTGGGGGTACAGAATGGACAGACAGCTGGACGCAGGGGGGTCCCTGCTTCTCCGTTTATTAACAAGCAGCCTTCGTTTAAAAAAAAAAAAACAAAAAAACAAACAAACACAGACATACAGACAGGCAGAGGCGGCCCAGAGGGGCGGGGAGGCCGCCCGCCCATGGTTCGTTTGGTTCCTGACACCAGAGAGGTTCAAGTAGCCGAAAAGGTTCAAGTTCACCATAAGGCACTTTAAAGCCATGATGGGAGCGGAGCTCCCCCAGCCCCATCACCCCTCCCGGCACCCCATGGCAAGGGACAGATGTGAGGGCCGGGCAGCGCTGGCGGGTGGCAGCGGAGGGGCCGGGGGAGGGAATATATTACATCATCTTTTTAAATATAGATAAAACTCTTATTGTAGACAAATAGTGCCGGTCCCCTACTCCCCCGGGGAGGCTGCGCCCTGCGGGGGGCATGTGCAAAGGGCAGAGGGGTGACCGTGGGGGCCCGGCCACCCCAGGGAGGTGGGTCCCACAGGGCCGGGGTGTTTTGGAAGGGGGCCGGGGCTGGGGAGTGGACGGAGGCTGCCCCGCACCCGGGGTGGGGCTCACCCGAATAGTGCAACCAAGAGAAAGCAGCGGGAGTGCAGGCGGCGGGGGGCTCGCCGGGGGGGGCTGCTCAGAGTGGGGAGAGGGGGACAAGCTAGTGCACAGCGCAGGGCAGTTGGTACCCCCACACTGGGAGAGCACAGGAGGCTCTCTCCAGCTGGGGGGGGGGGGTGTCTCGGTCCATGGGTGCCCCTGCCCAGTCCTGGCATCCCCGAGGGGAGTTTGGTGACAGGACACCCAAATCCTAATCCCCCCTTCAGCCACCTGGGCATGACCAGGTAGGCCCGGGCACGGTGGGGGGTGGTAGGGACCCCCCACCCCCTTGTGCAAATCGGCTGGGGGGGTTTCCCCCTTTGCATAACTGGGAATGAACCGTGATGGGAAAAACGGGAACAGAAACCCTGGTGGGCACAGCACAGCTCGGCACAGCACGGCCATTGCATGGGCCCTATGCCGTCTCCACTGGCACAGTGCCATCCGGTTGTGGCCCTTCCTCGCCCTCCGGCTCCTCTTCCTCCTCCTCGGGCTGCCCTGGAGCCCAGTAACGGGCGATGGAGAGGCGCAGCCCCTCCAGCCGCCCATTGGAGAGGTCGAGGCCGGGGGGACCGGCGGGCGGTGGAGGCGGCTCATCGCGGCGGCGGCGGCGGGTCCGCACCTCCAGGCAGTTCTGGCCCTTGAGGTGCCGCTGCAGGTGGTCATCCTTGGCGAAGGCCTTGTGGCAGAGGTTGCACTCGTAGGGCCGGGCGCCTGTGTGCAGGTGCATGTGGTTCTTCAGGTCATAGCTGTGCAGGAAGCGGGCGCTGCAGTGCTGGCAGGAGTAGGGCCGCTCACCCGTGTGTTTCCGCATGTGGATCTTCAGCTTGTCGTTCCTGGAGTTGGGACACACAGGGAGACATTGGCACGGGGCAGCTGGCATGGCACCCAGCCACGGCAGGCAGGGAAATGGTGCTGACAGCCCCATAGCAGGGATGCTCTGCAGGGTGCAGGGGTCCAGCTGCTTGAGGGGTAGGGGACCATTTTGCAGCTGCATGGCTGGGATGCAGTTTGGTGATGCAGGAGAGGTGCAGGGGGGACGCTGCTGGGTACCCTAGCATGGTCTGGCAGTGCTTACGGAGGGACGAAGACCCCACCCCAGACCTGCACCACACCATGCCAGGCTGGCAGAGGTGGTGCCGTGGGAGATGCCAGCAGGTATCAGGCCTGGGTTGCTCTGGCAGCACAGAGTGCAGAACACCCCACAGACCTGACTGCACCAGCATGGATGGCAGGGGGGCACTATAGGGGATGCTGCCAGGTACCTTGGGTCAGTCTGGCAGCAGTCACGAGGTGTAGAAGGCCCCATGAACCTCACTGCACCACAACAAGGGCTGGCAGGGGGTGCCATGGAGGATGCCATTGGGTACCCTGGGTTGATCCAGAGCACCCATGGGGTGCCGAAGTCCCCTTGGATCTGCACCGCACCAGTAGGGCTGGCAGGGGGTACTGTGGAATATGCCACTGGGTACCCCAGGTTGGTCCAGCAGCACTCAGGGGATGCAGAACAGCCCATGGACCATGCCAGGTCTGTGGCCAGGCCTCAGCAGGACTGGCAGGGGGAGTGTCATGGGAGATGTTACTGGGTACACGTCCCGCAGGGAGGGTCCATCCAGCAGCACTCACCGTGTGAATCGGACCCCGCACACCTGGCAGGCGAAGGGCTTCTCACCCGTGTGTGTGCGCATGTGGCGAGGCAGCTTGCCGGCGCCGTGGATGACCTTGTGACAGACAGGGCACTCCTGGGGCATCTGCGAGCGGCGCTTGCGCACCAGCTTGTCAGGGCTATCCAGCCCAGGTGTCAGCGACTCATGGTGCAGTGAGCTCAAGTATGCCATCAGGTCGGGGTCAATGGCATCATCGTCAGAGGTGGC